GTTTTTCGAATTTTTTGGATTTTGACCCCAAAAAATCAAAAAATATATTTTTTGAATATAATAGCCAAAAAATTCCAAAAGTTTTTTGAATTTCGAAAAAATCGGAATATATGTGATAGCCCCTACCGCCTTCTATCCACATACCAAATTTGAGATCTATACCTCTTTTTTTGGCCAAGTTATAGCGAAAAAAAACTGTTCAAAATTGATGACGTCAAATTTTGAAACTCAATTTTTAGCAATTCTAGACCTCGTAGCGCAAAACAAAGACCACCATTAGACTCCCCGTGACGAGCTGCATCGAATCGATACCCATTTTATGCAAAAATATCAACTTTGAAATTTGACCTTTTTTGACCTGACCTTGACCTGACCTCCACCAAAAAGTGACCTAAACCGTATCTGATGGTCTTATAACCAACACCATTGAGTTGGAAATGAGAAACTGGCCATGAAACATGCATCGCATAACCCTAGTAAAGTTGGGCTCATGTGGTGACCCTTGGTGACCTTTGGTGACCTGACCTGTGACCTGACCTGGTATGACCAGTGACCTCTAATAGCAACATATGTACTAGACAACTGACGCCTTATCGCTGATTTTCGACAAAATGCGTTTTACTCGGTGTTATAGCGCTTTCCCTAGAAGCCCCGTGAACGGTTAAACATTTTATCTTTGACCTGACCTGTGACGTCATCGGTGACCCCGAGGTCAATGAAATTTGGTTTCCTTCGACAAATTTGACAGGGCTATCGAACGCCGTTTGAATTTTCCGGATCCGTCCAGTAGTTTCGGAGATACGGGGGGGGCAAAAAAGTGCCCCCCCCCCACCGCGCGGAAGGTGGCTGGTAGGCCCACCGCCTGCCGGGTTAAAGCTGAATGGATCGATGGGGTGACCTCTCACACGAATCGAAATAGTGTTCACATCTGCCATGACCAGCGAAGCCCTAAGTCCAAAGAAAGCGCAGAGAGCCATTGGTATATGTGTAGGATGACTGAATGGATCGTAAGGCTGGCTGAAAGTGGAAGACGATTAAAAAGATAAAATTTGGAACATAATTGACTTGACATCGTCATCCTCCCAAAAGGCTCCTTCAGAATAATTATTAGGCAAGCGAACTTTGGTCGCATAAGTGCCAGCAGATGCAGTTTGGAGATGCAGATGAGTGAGCAATGGCGAGGATTCATTGTTCATGACGCTCGGGCTGAAAAGTTTTTGATGCATCGATCGTTTTGTGGCGTCCACAAACAGCAGCGTTCTCCGATAGGTATAGATAAATTCGTGTGCTTTGCATAGTTCTCTACATTCCGTTTTACGTTACCTTTCCAAGAACCAATGCCGGGAAATGCGGGCAGGTAACGCTAACCGTTCCGACAAAATGACCGTTTGTTCTACGCAAGAAGTGATCAGTTGGAGTAGCTATTTGTGTCAAGCATATGCGCTAAAATAAGCCCATTCAAATTAACAGCATGTTTAATGTCTCAGTTCCCAATCCCACGGCATCCATTTGTGTCAATGTGGTCGGCGGGTAAAACGTTTATAATAGGCCCAATTACCTGTTTTGTGTGAATGCCAGGGACGTGGCCAGATGTCACGTATACCCGTGTGTGTATGAGGGGGAGGAAAAATTCGTTTTAATTATGGGACAGCTGTGGAAATTGGGCCAGCGGAACACCCATCACGCGGTATGACGTGACACCCGGCCGCTGTTTTTAAGCCCCATAGGTAGTGAGTGCGTCCAATGGGAATTTGGCTAGGATCGATTGCTACAAGTCTGAGCCAAATGCAACACTTTTTTTTCAATATTTTTTTGGTCATAGAGTGGCACAATTGTTACAAAGAGAGCTCACGAAAGAAAATATGCTGCACTTTTTATGGGAATTATATTATGCCACTGCCAAGGCAACAAACATCTCAAAGTGGTAGACTACGTAATAGTCCGACACACTACCTTATCATATAAAACGCTTCTTATGCATTACATACATAATAAGTGCCACATCGGTTTAACCACGGAGCGATAATGCGTGGTTAGCTGTCGCACAAAAAAAAACGTAAGCTTGCAGCTCTCTGAGCTCTGACATTGGAAATAATTAATCTGCCTGCTGTAATTGCCGTAAACAATCCTGAATCCTTGGCTAACTAACTCTCCTGGTAATTTCTTTATTCAGCCTCCTGACTGACTGAAACGATTAGGTCTCACTGGTCTCACCTATGGGGATAATTGCTGTCCGACGTGTCGTGAAAGTCTGAGTTGTAGCACACACACCGATCGACAATATCAGCGAATCCGATCGGTCTCCATTGGGGAGTTGGGTGTTGGCCGATTGTTGCGGAAGGGTCCGCACAGGGTGAACGCATCGATAGTAAATATACAAAGTCGGCATACATTTGGCAAATAATTTAAAATGCGTCTTACTTTTAGTTTCAGCTGCTCAGAGTACGGACCGACATGCAGCAGTTACTAAAGTACCTCCTTCAAACCTGGCCCTCGATGACCGACGGAACGTGAGTGCTCTGTTCGCGATTTCTGTTAAGTGGTTTACTTAGCCCACATCTGATCCATGCTGCAGCCTGCAAAAGGGTAGGTATGTTTCAAACTTTCCCGCTAGATGGCAGGCAGCGTGTGCGCCTGTTTGATGCTGCACCGCATTACAGTGTACTGCGGCACAGCATAGCGCGCGATAGCCGCAGCATACAAAAAGAGCACAATAGCCGTTAGTCACGACGGCCATCTGGTATGTACACATTTGGTGCACATCTGGTGCAGATTAGGTGCAGATTTGGTCAAATTAGGTTCAGTGTGTCTCTTAACTTAGCTATCAGCTAGGGTTGCACTAATTGCTTATATGCCTGCTTTGTCATATTAACCAGAGAGTATCATCGATTAAAACACTGAAATAAGTTCACAAAATAAAGATATTTGCTGTATAAGAGATTAGGTGCAGATTTGGTCAAATTAGGTGCACTCGCCGGATAGGCCGTCGTGAAAACTGCTTTTAGGTAACCGGCTTGATTTTCCATTACGGATAATGGACATGGCATGTAACTCACAAGTAACAGTAACAATGCCGGTAAACAATGTAAAACATCAGGCGATCGATGGCTTCTCTAATTGGTCAGATCGGTTCGTCTGTCGGTATATGAGCGGTTGGGCGTCAGAATCCGTCGGTAGTTATGGTTGTGGGAGCCCGGTCATAGCTCGGGGCTCCACAGTGCTGGAAGGTGGTGGCCTTTGCTCTGAGTGTTTGAGAGCACAGCATAGACCGATGTCATGGCACGCCTTCTGAACATCAACTGGACGGCGCCCGACTCGGAGGATGCCAGAGCGGTGCTCCGTGTAACAGGAATACACGTAAGTAGGCGATCATTTGCGTCCTTCGGTTCCGTGATCACATGACAATCCTTACCCCTATCAATATCTGATGCTGACTCTAGTCACATTCCATTGTCAAATTTCATCAATTGCACCGACTGTAAGAAAATATACGACCAGCTACAGCTTTATTGCCTCACTGAATTTTAGGCACGCCATAGCTCGTTGCAAATGCCCAGGCTTCCTAGAAAACGACCCCGCCTACAAATCGACAAACGTGGCGAAATCCACAATCATCTCTCTCTCTCTCTCTCTCTCTCTCTCTCTCTCTCTCTCTCTCTCTCTCTCTCTCTCTCTCTCTCTCTCTCTCTCTCTCTCTCTCTCTCTCTCCCCCCCCCCTCTCTCTCTCTCTCTCTCTCTCTCTCGCCACTTCCGCTCGCCCCTCCTCCAGAACCCCCCGTTCTTCATCGTTGGCTCCGACGGGGTCAGCATCTCGGGCTACCTGTGTGACATCTGGCACCTGATCTCGGACCGCCTGGGGCTGCGGTACGAGCTGAGCTCGTTCAACAGCTCCGACTACGGCACGCGCCTAGAGAACGGCAGCTGGACGGGCCTCATCGGACAGGCCGCCAACAACGTGAGACCAGCTGTGAATGGGTTACCTGTGTCATGCAGGCTGTGTGTCTCACTTGCCGTATGGTTTATTGTTTATTCGGCACTGTCGGCCACAGGCAAAACTCATTGATGCCTGAGGGAAATAAGATGTTCAGTTTTACAACAAAAAGGACTGAATTTCTTGTTTCAATAAATATTTTTGTTTTGTTGAAGAATATCGTTTTTTACTTGCTTTGATTTCGCCTGATTGATGCGGAAACCGCTTATTTTTGATAAAAATTGATAAAAACTTTTCTATATTTCTATTTAGCAAATAGTATTCGTGATGACAAATTGGTTAGTAAATATCGATTCCCCTCAACAATTATAAACACCAATTGATTAAGTCAGTTAATCAAGTAAATATCAAGTCCCCTCACATACACGCGTGCCTCTCTCGGGCAGCAGCGGGCGGACGTCCTCCTCTCGTGGTTCATGCACGCGCCGGGCCGCGGCGAGGTGCTCGACTTCCTGGACGCGGCGCCCGTGGAACAGACCGAGTACGCCTTCTACCTGGCAGAGGACAGCAAGCCAGTCTCGGTCGAGTGGGCCTCGTTCGCGTCGCTGCTGAAACCGCTGCACACTGCATCGTGGATCGTTCTCCGTAAGTGCTAATGTGGGAGCTCATTCAGCTAGGGTTTGTGAGCTCGAAATATCTTATGAGCTATAGTATCTATTATTCCCAGTGCTTTGCAGATGTTTGTGGGGTCTCAAATGGCTACATAAGTTGTCCATTTCAATTTCATATTATAAACGTGATGCAAGTTTTCGTCTCCCTTAGCAGTGCTGCGAATGTATGTTAGTAATTAAATCATACAGTTAAGGCGAGTTGAGTCCCAGTATCACTCATTGCACGTCTCCAGTCTTTTTCCGAGGTGCTGCATACCTATCATCCCGACGCATCCGTCTCTCCATCTGTGCTATTTGACCTGTGTTCCGCCTTCTTTCAGTGTTCACGCTGCTGGTCACGGCCGCTCTTCTCTGGTTCACGATCCACTACAACCATTCTTCGGCCGAGAGCAGGACCACTGTGCGTCAGTTCGGACTGGCCGACTGTCAGCTCGCTACATTTATGGCGCTCACCGGACAGGGCTGGGCGGTGGCGCCCGACTCGCTGGCAGCGCGCACAGTGGCAATCACCGCACGCTTTCTCGGTCAGTTATGTCGAGAATAAGCAGCGGTGATACATCTCAGTCACATAGTGAGTCATTTTGGTGGGAATGCGCATAAAACTCATGCGGATGAGCCTCACTGATTGGACTTGCAGTAGCTCTGCCGTGTAAAGGCAAAAGCTACTATGTGAGGTCAGACTCTGACCTCACATACATAGTAGCTTTTTGCCTTTGCATGGCAGAGCTGTTGTCTTGGAAAATAAGCATACAATTCGTACGTTTTTCCACGATGCTAAATTGGGTTATGTGGCTGTTTTTCTTTAGGCTTAGGAGTGCGGGACGGCATACTTGTCTTATATTTTGCGAGACTTACCTATCTACCTATTGTCCGGCATCCAGGTCTGATGGTGACGTTTCTGTACACGGCCAACCTGATCTCCTCATTGACTGTGAGGGACCACCCCAAGCCCCTCACGTGCCTGGACGACTTCGCTCGTAGAACCGACTGGAAGTTCTCCACCTGGAAAGAAGCGCCGGCGTTCGATGTGTGGAAGGTCAGTGAAGAATGATTGAACGTTCATCATCAGAGATATGCCGGATGGAAATATCTATACGATTTCTTATCCCAACACATTACGACAGAAGTCAGCACTATACTTAGGATCCGGGAATCATCAATCAGATATTGACATGGTTATTTCGACTGAAATGGCGTAAATTCTAACCAGCGAAACGATACAGGATCGTAAAAAGAAACCAACTCAATTTTCAAAAGAAGTAGGTATAGATGCTGACTCCTTTCTAACCCGACGGCCGTTTCAGAAGAGCGACAATCCGAGCGAGCGGCACCTGTACCAGATGCGAGAGGCCGGCGACCAGTTCCTGGACATCGACGGCAGCGAGGAGTCGCACCGGCAGTGTCTGCGACCGCGCGTGCTCTGCTACTACGACCTGCGCCACTACTTTATCGCCACCGGAGCGGACGCGTGCGTGCTGCAGCCTCTGGAGCAACAGCGCCCCTCGGTCACCAACAACTACATCGTGCTGCGGAAACGTCTCGGAACGCTCCGTCAGAGGGCCAACGCCGCGTGAGTGGCCGGGAGCGGAGGTGGTGAACGTCTGTGAGTGTCTGTGAGTGTCTGAGAGTGTCTGAGAGTGTCTGAGAGTGACCGTATTCACTATACAATAGACGGGTGAGACATAAATCCCCGTGGCCTCCCCGTGGTCTAGTGGATAAGGCGTCCATCTCCTAACTCGGTAGCAGGCAGTTCGCAGTCGGGAAGCTCCACTCGTTTGACCCGCGTTTCGGCGAGAGGGGGCCACGCTAGACCCGGGGAGGACCGTGCCGCCATCTACCTGCGGCAGATGGCCAAATTATCCAAATTATCACCGGTGAACCGGGCGCGGGCAAGGTGGGTCCGTGGTGTCATTCCCAAAAAGCATTGCCTAGCGGGGCACCCGGGCCCATAGCCACCCATTCATCCATTCCGACAAAAATGTATAAAAAAAAAAATCAATGTAGCTGAATAAGTGTCTGAGGCGCTCGTGACAGTTCTCACTTTGAGCGTCCGTCAGTTATGAGTGTTCCGTCTGAGTGAGCTCCCCGCTTTACGTTGGAACACCCGCGTTGCTCGGTACTTCCTGCCCCGACTATACCTCCTCTCGCCGGCAGGCTGCTGCGGCTCCGTGAGACGGGCGTGCTGCGGCACCTGTACCAGTTCTGGTTCGCCGACTCCCGGGTCAGCTGCGCCGCCCACTGGACCGAGGGCCTGCCGATGTCGGCCGGAGACACACAGGCCGTGCTGATGGTGGCGCCTCTCGGATGTATCCTCGGACTGCTGCTGCTGCTGCTGGAGCGGGCTATCGCCTGCCGCCGCCCCGGCCACCGCCCGACGCGGGGATTCCACCCGCCGAGTCAGACGCAGGGAGACCGCGTGACTCCGGTGGTTGTAAACGACAAAATGAACTCGATCGGTGCTGCTCTGGTTTTCCAAAACGGTTCTCGGCCAGCGAGATTTCAGCTGTGAATGTCGATTATGAATACAAATGTGTAAACAGGTCACCGACCAGGATAGCGACCAGGTCACTGACAGGGTAGTGACCCGCCCCGATCACTGACCGCTTACATTAACCGATCACTGGGCCGCTGACTGATCGGTGAACAGACGCAGTCGACAACCATCGACATTATTTAGGCACATAAATACAGTGGCGGCAATGCGGGGCAGTGTTCACTGGTGGCACCGGTCAGAATTCCCTACCGAATTCAATTCCGCAACCTACCAGTAGGCATTGAATGTCCCAACGGCGGACAAACACTAGCCCGATCAGCAGATTCGGCAAATATCTCCTTTATCGGCAGCAGCTTCGCGAATATTACTTCTACCGCGCGTCTCCACTGCGTCTCAAGTATCGGTCCGAATCTGCTGCTAGTAGGCAAACATTCGGCTCGGCGAATCCGCTGCCGGCAGCCGGTATATTCGGGGCAGGCGAATTCTGAATCTGCTGCTGAGTGCTGGTAAGTATACAGACTTTCGGCGAATCCGCTACCAGATCAGCATATTTTGCCTGGCCGAATGTCTGACTTACTGCAGCAGATTCGTGAACTCGCGGCATATCACAAAACTACTGCAACATTGATTCGCAGCAATTAAAATTTCGTAGTCGCTTACATGGGCCCGTTCACAGTGATCTTCCATTTCTTGCGCAGCTGTGACATACAATTACGTGTTCTGTAGGTACTGAAGGTATTTATAGCATTTAACACTTTCAGTCTTTGTACTTTGTAGCAATTTGAATTCATGTCTCACAATTCATTTCTGTTTTATGTGCTTTTTGTCTTTTGTTTGATGCTATCAAGTGTGAATAAAACGCAAGATAAAGCGTCAAAGTCAAAATCAAACAGGCTTTGACGTCATTTTTGTCTATACTGCTATCGCGAGCCGTTGCACGCATGATAAGAAAAATTGTGACTTCCGACCACTGGCACTGAACCACATGTGCCTAAACCACGCGTGAGAAATAAGAGGATTCTATATCGATATATAGTAATCCCTGTTGTGTTTTTGTCGCGTTTCTTACCATTTAATTTTTCTTTCATCGTGCTGATTTCATGCCGTGGCGGACAGTGAAAAGTTTTTATTTAGTTCAAGATTAGTTAGATTGCAGCCTAGCTTTTAAATCAATGAAATGCCCGTCCCAGGCCATCCACTTCAACTTTGTTGCCCACATGGCCTGCTTGATTTTCTAAATTGTTCCAGTTCATCTGGGCCCTGTTCAACTTTTAAGTGTCTGTGGTCGCCACGGCTCCCAAGGTAAAAAAGGTGGGGCTAAATGGCCAATCAGGTGACGGACGCTGGCGCTTGATTCCCTCCATCCCGATTGGCGGTTACGGGCTACCTAGCTAAGCCTCCGCCGTTTTTACCTCAGGAGCCGCACATCTGCAGACACTTTGTGTGACACTGAAGTTGATTTGCAATTAAAGCTAAATTGGGTGCCAGCTGGTTACCTAGTATTTACATTAGGTTGGCTGTGCTTCATGTATGTCAAGATGGCAACCATGATCAGTCATAGGCATATGAGAAGGAGACATGCAGAATTGACAGGATTTTAAGTCACAGATAAGGAAATTCCAAATATCCAGGCCTCAGGGCGATATTGCAATGCAAAGTATGGAAGCGGATATGATGAGCTGCAACAGGTCAGGATGAATAACTTGCATTAGTCTGCAACAAAAAGGCTTACCTACAAATTTAAAAGAGAAGTGATAGATTTTACTTCCAAAAAGGAAGAAGGCTTTGAAAGGTCATTAATCCCACTTCTCTGGATGACCCATTGTTTGATTGTGTTTGTAATTTTCTGGGACAATGTGTTCAGCACAGTGCAGAGCTTGAGCTCACTCAGCTCCAAACAAATCCACACCGCCTATCGTTAAGTCTTTGCTGATTTTCAATGTGCTCACACTTACAACACCTGGTTGACATTAGTCTGTCCCAGATATTTTGAATATTCATTAGGTAGGTACTAGGTAGTAATCAAAGATTTAGAGTTCTGGACATTTCAGCTGTTGGCAGGACAGGATCTGCATTTTTTATGAGAATTGAGAATTTTGAGATGGGTGGGTAGTTGTATTTTTAATGTAGGTGGTAATGAATAATTATAAATTATACATTGCTAATGTTTTTGCTTATATCATGTATATATTCTGAGTTATAAATAAGTAAATTTAAGGTAGCAAGTCAGGCACTGCTTTTAGGTTTTATATTGCCTTTCAGGAAGGTAAAAGGTTCTGCTGGTTTTGCTACTTACAAGTGTTCTTTTCAGCCCAGTTGTTGCTTTAGCTGTCAAACAAGGTCAGCTGTTCAGGTGGCTCTGCCATGGCTCCGGGGCCCACACCAGAAGTCTATGTGCCTCCAGCCAAACCGTCACTGGAGAATCTCACAAAGGACTTTGGCAAAATTAGCAAAACTCAGAACAAGGTATGACAGTGATGTTGCATATTCATTTGCCTTAGTTTTAAATAATTGCTTCTTTATTCTGAACTTTTTTCTTCAGTTATGTATTTAGTGATCTATGCTAGAAACTAGCAGACTTTTTGTAGTACCTAATGATTAAAATGAATATATAGTGCTAGTGTAAATGAACTAAAGGTATGCCAACTACCCATTTTGTGGAAAAGATATAGCACATGTTGCGTTGCTCCTCTGCCCGAGAGTCGAGACAGGTCTCCTGTGCCACTTCCCAGCGGCAGACCCACATGATACCTCCAACCGAGGAGTCCCCGTCGCCACGTCCCCGCCAAACGGGCGTCCAAAGTCTCCGAGCGATCACTTGGCGGTAGTACATACACTACTTTGTTGTGCATCTGTTGACGCTCTGTTTTGCGTTTTCCAGGTGTTGCGTGCTCTGTCGCAGCCTCACATAGAGGCCTATAACGATGTCGTGGAGAGGGGCCTCACCATGTCGCTGGCCGCCATACCACCGGTGCAGTTTGCCCTCCCGGACAACACCAAGGTCGCTCTGCGCGTGCTGGTGAGGCGGCGGTGTGAACTGTGGCAGAGCATAGCTGGTGTCAGGCATCTGCCTCTGTAACACTTTGCGATTAATTGAACAACAAATTCTGAGAAATTGAAACAAAATCCATTTTTATTGAAGCAAAATAGAATCCATCGATTATCTGCGGTCAATGTATTTTAGTTATGACCTTTAGGTATTTTGTCTAGGCTAACCAGAGCTCTTTTTCAGTCAAGCACCATCAGTTGTTTTTGCAATCACGATAAGAAACATTCTCAAATCAAATCGTTCTGATCTGCCCAACTCCTCCTCGTTTCTTTCGACCAGCCCGTCTCCGTGACCCCCCCCCCCCCCCCCCCATTTCAGGGTGGCAGGATCACCGCCCCGCGTGTACCAATGTCTAACGTGGGCGCCACAGACGCCCGTGTGTTCCCGAGCGAGGCTCGCACAGGACTGAGGGACTACACCGGGCAGCTGGTGGTGCACTTTGCCGTGTCGGTGAACGGGGCCACGTGCATCGCCATGGACCGATCCCTGGGAGAGGTGCCCGTCATGGTCGGCGTGAGTTGGACGGAGGGGTGGGAGGGGAGGGGTGTCACCGGAAGGGCTTAGAACAGGGAAATGAAGTGGGAAAGGGCACAGTATTACGAAAAAGATAAGCTCTGTGATCTAGAACGGTGGTTCAGTGTGTGAGGACATGACAGCATGTTGCGGGTATTTTTATTAGATTGTTGGCCTCTCACTCTCACTCTGTCACTCCTTCTCACTCATTCTCTGATTCTAGCCTCCCACTCCTCTCCCTCACTCTCCCTCGCTCTAGCTCGCCCTCTCACTATATGTATTCAATTGTTTCTGACACCCCACCCTGCCTCGTGTCCCTCACCAGTCGAAGTTGTGCCACCTCCACGGCCTGTCGCCGGCCGAGCTGGTCCGACGTGGAGAGACGGACTCGGAGTTCGGCGGCTACTTCATCATCCGCGGACAGGAGCGGCTGCTCAGACTTCAGGTCAGCTTACGATAGATAGGGAATAGTGATACTTAATCTAGTTATTTTATTTAGACCCGGCTCGACGTGCACAGTGATGGCTAAACTTTGTGGTGTAGCAGGATAGGGCGTTGAGTGTGTCAATATTGACGAGCAGTTAGGTGCACTCGACTGA